GTCCCGCCTGGCTCACTACAACAAGAGGTCCACCATCACCTCCAGGGAGATCCAGACCGCCGTGCGCCTCCTGCTGCCCGGTGAGCTGGCCAAGCACGCGGTGTCTGAGGGAACCAAGGCTGTCACCAAGTACACCAGCTCCAAGTAAACCTGATCCTCCAATCACAAACAAAGGCTCTTTTAAGAGCCACCTACCTGGTCTGTAAAGAGCAAAGTTCTGTGCGCTTGTTTAATGTAAAGCTGATATGAAAAAATTCATAACATGTCGTCCTGAAAAAAAAAAAAAAGCTAAAATAATTCACAGTATACAGAGAATGATCCAACAAGTAAGTTTTGTGTATATTTAGGCTGTTCTAGTAGCTATATTTAAGTGATTGATATTAAAAGTTCAATTGTTGCAACAAGATGAAATAAAAATAATTACAGAAGGTTAGTCTACATTTTTGTTGCCTTTTAAAGGTTATACCTAACAGGATTTGTCTCACTGGTTCTGTTCGGTAGCACACGTGATCTGGGTTACACCTCATCTTCGATTCGTGCGCACCACAGGGTGTGAATGCGCTCTGACAACAGGCGCACACACAGACCCCAATGAGGTATATTTACTTCTTTATCAATGAGGTAAATGTACATCATTGATAGACCCACACTCTGTCAGACGAGCCAAGCAGCCCCTGCAACCGTCACCTGCCGAGGAGTTTTGTCTTTGCCTGAAAATACACAGCAAAATAAAGCAAGAGTAGCTCCACAGTTARAAGGTCTAAATGCTAACTCTTGGTACCTCTGTAAAGGTAAGATCTTAAAGATAATTTCTTAAGTGAAACCACTATTGTAACTCTTACTGGGCCTGAGGTATTTGTGATTAAAGAAAATTTGTAAAAAAAAAAAAAGCCTCGCCTAAAATGTTTTTAAATCAACAGTGCAAAACCACATTGAAAACTCTTGTGAAAAGCCAGGAATGCCCTTAGATTTTAAACATCTACATCTTGATAAAAATTGTAGCAAAGTAGGACTGAATAAGTACAAGTATATAAATTTCACAAAGGTTTTAGTGAGCAGTGTGCCAGGCGGAAAAAGGCATTTTGGCACAATTTAGCCAAATGTACCCAAAACTGTTCCAAATGTTTTTTTTTTAACTTTATAAAAGAGAATCTGGTCTAATAAAAGTGTTGATTTCTATTGTAGGAATATGACAACTGTGCATCATCAAAATCTACCATTGTGCACACCAATCACTGAATGGGACCTAACTCGACGTTTTACGCATGAGGGCTGTTATTTATACTCTCGGTTACGCACGAACTTCACATCACCAAACAAAGAGTAACACAGTGTCAAGATATATCCCTGAATTCGTGAGAGCTTTGTCTTTTCAAAGATACCAAAGGGAGGGGTATGGAATCAAAACTTGCACAGCAACAGATGCGGAGAACTTCCTGATACTGAAACTGTCTGCGGTGTATGATTATCCTTGTATGCAATTCCATCTTTAATAACTGTTACACATCCTCCTCCACTACTACCATTATTTGTCTTTCCTTATTGCACTATAACTGGGAATTTTGAAATCTAGATGAGGTTTTAACCATGTCTCCTGAATACATATTATATCTGGCATTATTTCTAAATCATATACATATCTTTTGAATTCTTGACCATTAGCTATTAAACTTCTAGCATTCCATTGTAGAATATGAAGGACCATAATTAGTGTTTCAATCCTTTTCTTGTCCATTTTCTGTTGAGTCTGCTGAACGTAAGAGGGTATGAATCTGATCTGCTTGGATCTCTTTCATATCAAGGAATTTTCCTGCTGCAGTTACTGTACTATTGTCTTATTTTATCACTTTTCTTTTTTCATTTGTACTGTGACATTCACAATATGACACATATAATATGTATTCAGGAGACATGGTTAAACCCTCATCTAGATTTCAAAATTCTGGGTTACAGTGCAATAAAGAGCTTTCAAACCCCAAAACACATTACGGCAAAGGCTGGTTCACCCCAAAGATCCGGTGCCCCGGCACAAACAGAGC